AATTGGGTAAGCACATAGGCATGAAACTTCTTCACAAACTGTCTTGTTTCAGCTTTGTTTTTCATTAAATGTTGCCAAGTAAATCTTGAGTAATCATCAACCAATTCAAAGTCAGAAAATAATATTCCCCTTTCAAAGAACAAACCGGAAATGGTCCCCATATGCCAATTTGAATCAAATCAAAGCAAGTTTTTAAACTAGTAACACTTATTGGAAAAGGGGGACGCCTGTGCTTAGCCAAATGACACACATCACAAGCCACATCCTTAGTCTTAGAAGTATCAATATCACAAAGAAGAAGAAGTTTGTTAGTTAGGAAATGCGCCAACCTTTGGTGCCAAACTTCCGGACTGGTGCACTGCATTGCATAAAGTTTGTCTCGCAATCATGGTGGTTCCACCATTAGGTATAGACCTCTTTCTTCCCTGGCTTAACCATCTATCTGACCATGACTCCCCTAAATCAAGCACTGTTTGGACATGAAGGTTAGTCTATAAGTAGCATCTTGAACTAACTTGCTCAAAGAGGTAATATTGAATTTGAAAGAAGGAATATGTAATGCCTCTTTCAGCCATAAATTGTCACTGTAACACCCCAAAATTTTAAAATTTTTCAATCTTATAATATGAAAGAAATTCTATTAAATAAATCCCAAATGGAGTATTCTAAACATAAGGTCTGGGGTGTTATGCCACATCTGAGCTGGAGAACTCAGATGCACAGGCTATTCTAACTAACTATCCTTTAAACATTGTCATTAAATCATCAAGGCGCGCAGGCCGAAAAGAAAGACTAACTATCTATGCCGAGGTCCTCTAGCGCGCTCCGGTAGCTAATCATCTGTGCCTGAAAGCCAAATATATCTGTTCAGCGAATGATGCTGGTAACCCACTCCAACGCGTTGAAATACAATATAAGTATATAAGTATATATATATATATATATATATATATATATATATATATACGAAAACCATTTTGAAGCAGGAAGGTATATACGTAGGAGACTCTAGCTTTAAAAATCAGGAATGAACTCGACAAATAGAGATAAGCATATTCAACAGTTATAATCAAGCATATAAAGACACTAGCATATATCCTAGGGTCACAGATTCACTTCACATCGTTCATATCATCATTCAATTTATATCTTATCACATAAGCACACTTTGGTGGCGCCACAGGACCAATCGCATGCCAATATATGAGGGTCAGCGCATATAGCGCTAACACGGCCCCGCAGCACCCTGCCTCGTATCGCAACACGAAGGGGTCGATCGCAACCGACCGATGAACCGCAGCTCATCATAACGTTTGATCGCAACCAAACAGTGGACCGTAGCCCAAAAGTGAACCTCTGACCGCAGCCAGGAATATGAACCGCAGCTCATGTAAAACGTTTGATCGCAACCAAACGGTGGACCGCAGCCCAAAAGTGTATTTCTGACCGCAGCCAGCTTCTGAACCGCAGCTCAGGTATAACCAATTTGATCGCAGCCAAATTGGGGTATCATGCACACATAACACATAGCAAGCACATGCAACCCGTATTAACACATTGGGAAAGGGGAGAAAACGTATAATGAAACCTATGCGTGGTCATCCACATACTAGGAATAATCCTAAGGGGTTCATACTTCTTTCACCTAGGCCAACGGGATACCAATTCAACTAGCATGCGATACACAAGACTCTTTTATCCTACGAACGGTACCCGAAACATCAAACTAGACTTAGGCATGATAAACAGAGTTCGTTGGGACACCACGAGGATCGGGGAAACATCAAACGGGGGAAACCACCATTCCGAGGTGGGAAAAACCAGCGGGTGGCCGGCGGGTGGAGGACCACCCGTCGGCTGCCCGCCGGCGGCGAGAAACCGGGCAGCGGGTGCCCGGCGGGCTATCGCCTGCCCACCGGCTGCGACGCCCAAATGGGGCAGCGGGTAGGTGGCGGGTTCCCCTACCCCCCACTAACTCTTTTTCAATTCTTGGGTCCCGGGATCTTTCGTCGAACCCGAAACCATGTTACGACACTTTTAAACACAAACGACGATAACACGTAGTCAAATAATGGATCAAAACCAAGAATCATATTGAACATATCCTGGCATGACTTCTAAACATAATTGACACCCAAACATGTGAAATCCCACCCAAATATATACCAAGAACATCACAATATAAAATTCCCAATTTAACCTAGGGCTCTAATCCCATTCAAATCATCAAGATCATAGTTCATCTTCAATATCAAGATTTATCAAGAACATCACACAATCATCAAGATCCTCTTATCATCACTAAGATCATCAAGATCACACATAAAATCATCTCATCAATCATCAAGATCATATCATAATTATCATAGAAGATTTCATCAAGACACAAGCATATAGAAGGAGCCAAAGAAGAAGATTATAGCAAGGAAAATAGGTTTTGTTGAGACATGGGTTACCTCTTAGGCTTAATTAGATTCCTTGGCTATTAAGGCTCTTTTCTCTAAGATCTCTTCTTCTTGATTTCTCCTACGTTTGGTGGTGGGGGATTCTTGGGAATTCTTGTGTGGTGATATTTATTATGGTGTGGGTTCTAGGTGCCTCCTATTCCCCTATTTATATATCTATGAGTCCCAATTAGGGTCTAAATGGTATGGGTTTGCTAATTCTATTCCTTATAGGACTAAGGGGCTGGTTTTAGGGATGAGGGTCCATGGACTATGGTGGTCCCTTCTTAGTTAATTAATGGATTTTAATTCTCTTTTTAGGGTAAGTAATTAAATAATTAGTTTGGGTTAGAGGTCGTAACACGGGGTGTTACAGTCACTAAGCTTTACATCCCCTATGTGTTCAACCGCGATGCACTGTCCCGTGGGGAGGTTCACTTCAACACCATTAACCATGTTGTAATTAATAAGAAAATCAAGGGAACACACAATGAGATTTGTGGCTCCTAAATCAAGAATCCAAGTGAAAGAGCTTAAGGAGGGGGAATTAACAAAAAACTTGCCTTCATCAGTGTTATGTGACTCATCAAATTTGGGAGTCAAAGCCATTGCAACAATGATATTTGAGTTGGAGGATCCAGGTGCTTGATCTGGTTGTGTTTGTAGGAAGGAGATAATCTTGTGCAACTGCTCAGAGGTGATTCCCAGATCCCCTGCACTGCTGAGAGCCGCTGCCGTGGCCTGCTGTTTCCCTTTCAATTTGTAGCCCGGTACCCAATCGGGGGATACCCGTGTTTCTTGTAGAATTTGTCCAACGTGTGTCCGGTCATGCCACAATAAGTGCACTTAGCCTTCATAACATTGTTTCTCTTGCCATTATGTGTTTAAAGCTGTAGCAACATTTTCTTCATTCATGCAAGCCTGAACTGCATTAAATTGATTGATACCCAAGCTTCCTAGATTCAGACTTGTTAGGCTAATCTGCCTCTCTAGTTTTTCAGCCATAACGAAAACTTTGTATACCTCAGGCAAGGGATCTAAGACAAGGACATTCAATTTCAAACTATTATAATTCTCATTCAAACCTTACAGAAATAGGATTACCTGATCCGTGTCTCTCTCCTTCTAGATTATTTCGACGAGATCACAAGAGCACCTAAGATCACATTTGCAAAGAGGAATCGACCTTAAGGTGTTCATTTCCTCCCATAGAGTTTTGCATTTGGTGTAATACTCATTTACGGAAAGAGATCCCTGCCGTAGGCTGTGAATTTCACTCTGCAAAATTGAGATGCGCTGCACATCTCTTAGCGAGAATCTTCTCCTTAGATCCCCCCAGATATCTTTAGCTTTGTTGAAATGCGTTATACTCTGCACTATGGATGGATGCACCGACTTGAAGATCCAAGAGCAGATCATCAAGTTACAGCGCTTCCATGCAGCGTATTGAAGTTGTTCCATGCTCGGCGGCATTGTGCTTCCATCTACCAGGGTCCATTTGTTCCTCACCTCTAAAGCAATCCGCATGGATATGCTCCAAGTTCCATAATTCGAGCTACCTGTTAATGGCGGACTTGCAAGGACCGCCGATGGACTGTCATTAGCTCAAAGAAAGAGAGAATTCTCCAATTCCTCTGTGTTGAAGTTCCTCTGGAGTTGAGAAGATGGATTCCTCTGCGGAATTGTCTCCGGAGCTGCTCGAACTGGTGATTGGGTGACTGGCGTAGCAACATGCACCCCCTAACTGGTGTCGCCAACGCTGGAGACGGCGTCGGCGTAAGAGTTGTGTCGTGGCTCTGATACCATGACGAATTACATGAACGGTGAAGGAAAGGAAGTGAGAACTAATATTATTCTGGGAATGTGAAGTATGAATATTACAACGGGAAAGAAGAGGATATATACATTCTGACGGTTATAACTGCCACAAGGGATAAAAGTACAAGAATGCCCTTCTAATTATTTTTGCCTAACAGCTTTGTTGCTTGTATTTGCTATATCATCTAATAGAAAGTTATATTAACATGTTAGACGAGTTTTAAAGGGTTATTGTGTCATATCATGTCATGTAGATCCAAAACTTATTAAATAAATGTATCTATCGCGTCAACCTATTTAACACATTTAAAAATGCTCATGTTTATAACTCTCATTTTAATGAACCTGTTTACATGAATTGCGAGTCCTATAAAAACCTATCAATTAGAATTCATTTTGCCTAATAATTAACGTAGATCTATTGCCTAATGTAGATCTACTATTAATAAAATAAATATACAAAAAAATATAATATAGAATGTCCTAACCTAAAGATCAGAGTCTAACAAAAAATATTTCATGCATGTAATGAAAATGAAAATAAACAAAAAAAATATTATATATAACATAGGAAATTTGTTTACTTTCTATTAACAGTAAATTAACTTTTGTGAATAGAGTTTTGAGATCGAGGAAATAATGGCTAACCACACAGCATGTTGAGAGCACCCTTTAATTTCTCTTTTCTATAACAACTTCCATGTATATATATATATGTGTGTGTGTATTTATCTCCCCAAAAATGGCAAAATTTTTCATTCCAGATAATAAATCTTGAAAACCCAAGAAAAAAATATAAAAATAATAATAATTGATCTTAAAAAACCAAGAAAATAAAAATGGTGGATTTGAAGAGATGCATTGTGGCATTGTCTGTGGCCTATCTAACCTTGAGAACCATTGTCATTCATGCCGATGCCTCAAACAAATTCTGTGGCACCGCCCTGGACAAACCGCGTTGTGAGAAAATGGCGAAGGGTGCAACAAATTGGGATGAGGCAATAACCAAAGTCATAAATGAGGCTTTGAATGTAGTGGCTAAGGCCAGTACGTCAGGAGGCCCCGCGTGCAAAGAGTCCTACAAACACACAGAAGACAAGTAAGTCTCTATTGTTCTTTCAAATGCACTAATAATAATTGATTATGTCTGCAGAATGCTCTAGGTGCTAGTCGGGAGTGCCTAGAGTGTCCAGGGAGGGCCTAGACGGACAAGTAATATGAGTATATCGTCTTCACTTTTCCCATTCAAGGCGAGGAGTTGTGGACTATATATTATAATCATCAAACTAGTCAACTGCATATGTTAGATGGTTAGTTGATGGTTAGTTGAGTAAACACAAGTAATCTTGAGTATATCGTCTTCTCTTTTCCCACCCAGGCTAGGAGTTGTGGACTATATATTATAATCGCCAAACTAGTCAACTATAGAGAAGGAGTAGCCAATCAGACAAAAAAAAATCACTTGGCCGAGTTGGCACCGTCTCGGGCGAGTTAAGTGCTCGCCAAACTAGTCAACTATAGAGAAGGAGTAGCCAATCATACAAAAAAAAATCACTTGGCCGAGTTGGCACCGTCTCGGGCGAGTTAAGTGCTAAACTCAGCCAAGTCGATGCCTAGTCGGCCAATTAGTCGGTTCACCTAAAAGCAGCCTAGGGCTGAAATTGCCGCCTAAAAGTGTTGAAATTGTCGCCTAAAAGCAGCCTAGGGCTGAAATTTCCGCCTAAAGGAGTCGAACTGATTAAAAGCAGCCTAGGGCTGAAATTGAAATTGCTACTTAAAAGCTAAGTGTTGAAATTGCCGCCTAAAAGCAGCCTAGGGCTGAAATTGCTACCTAAAAGATTGAAATTGCGCCTAAAGGAGTCGAACCGACTAAAAGCAGCCTAGGGCTGAAATTGCTACCAAAGTGTTGAAATTGCCGCCTAAAAGCAGCCTAGGGCTGAAATTGCCGCCTAGGGGCGCCTAGCGCCTAGATCGATTTTTACAACACTGATTATGTATGTCTAGGTCGGCAAGCAAAACATGCAATGCATACGTATAAAATTAATAAGGAGAGTTAAATTTTAATTGCTTGTTTGTTGTTATGTTGATTAATAATCTATAATTTGTTGGATTTGATGTGATGAATGTATTAGATTGAAGGAGTGCTTGAAGACAGCTCGCGATGGAAACAAGGATGGTACCTTGAACTTCGAAATCTCAGCAGCACTAACAAGCGTTACTGGCTGCACTAAGGCACTCAAAGGCAAGAAGGAAGACGTGGCTGCGGCTATGAAATTGAACGAGGATGTCGAGCAAGCCGTTAGAGTTTGTTTAGCTGTTGATGCATCCAAGTCTGCCCCCTAAAACACATAATTATATTCTACCCAATCATATCATGAAATTAAATATAACGTTGGAAAAAACTGCATTTTAATTTCCTTTAATTTGTATTTTTTTTTGGTGTGACCACAACGCGGTTCGAGTCTTTCCCTAAATGCATTTTAATTTCCTTTAATCTTTTTTTTGGAGTGAACCACAACGTGGTCCGAGTCTTTCTCTGTTCGTTTAGCGGTCCAGGTTCACCTGATTCGCTTGAGAGGCACAAGAACTGGCCCAAAGAATCAAACACGGCTTATTCCAAAATTCTCGATCCTCACAAAGAGAGCTCATTTGCCACTTGAACTACCTTGCTGGGTTCTTTAATTTGTATCGATCCATCCCTCATCTCTTGGATCTATTTTATTCACCCTCTTTCTTACTACATGAAGCCAAAAGTATAGGAAGAAAAAGATCACTAGCAAATGCTACATACGGTTTGGATAACCGTTTTTGTTGAGTTATCTTACAACATATAGTATAGAATCCTGAAAACTAGAAAACAACTAAACCACTAAAAACTAAAACTGGAAATTGAGAGGAAAATAATGTTTGGGGGATTATGAACAGTTCATACAACATATAGGATCCACAACTAAACCACTAAGACAATGACAATATAATGTATTTCAATTAATTATAACACATGCAAATTAAACTATCTCACTCTCACACATTATAAACTTAACAAATGGCTAAGCTTACTCAATTATGGCTTGTGATCGAATAAATCTCACATAATAAAAAATTTTGAGTTTTAAAGAACTACTTTAACAAGTTGTCCATTTAGAGAAATAGAATTCATACTCTTTCTTTTAGTTCTACTCGAACTTGATATGTTTTGTCGTAAGAAATCTGTCGGCTAAGGTACAGGTCTGTCTCTCTTCGGCGGCAATCCGCATATATTGTTCGGCGAGTACAAAAATCAAAATAGAATGTTAAAGCTCAAGGTTGAGGAATGACCACGGTTCAGTTTGGTGAGTACAAAAAATAAAATAGAATGTTAAAGTTCAAGGTTGAGGGATGACCACGATTTAGTTCCAGTTTTGATCTGGCAATTTCCAATTTCGGAAAATGGTGATGAACAGTAACCAAAACTTTCTAGGAACTTAGGAAGGTTCGAAATGAGGTTATTATTATTATTATTATTATTATTATTATTTATTTTTTGGTAAATTCTGTTTTCTATTTATAAAATAGTTCAAATTCAATAATTAAATTTTTTATAGAATTTTTTCATTTAATTTTTTTTTGAACTGTTTTTGCTACTTTAGCTAAGCTTCGAGAATGAAATGCTTGCGCGAAGAGAATCTGATAACGCCTCTCTCCGGTGAGCGGGAGACAAGGCAGATCGCGTGTTAGCGGCTAGTTTCTTCATTTCATTTTAAGTTTTTAAAAATGGTATATCAAATATTTAAACTTTAAAATTAAACTAAAATAAACAAAAATTATTATAGTTAAATTTTAAATTATTATTTAAACTTTAAACTTTAATAAAATAATAGTTGAAATTTAATTAAATAATTGTTATTATTATTTTACAATTTAGAACTGGAACGGGTGGTTCTTGTTCCTACTATTATGAAACCGGACCGTTATGTTTCGTTTCCTACCGTACAGGATTCGGTCTGAACGGTGTGGTCATCCCTACCTTCTCAAGGAGGCTAATAACAAAATATATTTTGTATATCGTATACGAAAATCAAATTAAAGTATTTACCATGCTCGCATGGGCAGCTCAACTGATCATAGGGGTGAGAGTTAGAAAGAATGACTACGGATCAAGTCTCACCAACGGCAGTTGGGAGCTACCTCTCAAAGTGAGCAGAACTTCCGCAGTAAACAAAGGTCTAGCCTCTATTGGTTCATATTCAGTTGAACCATCATGATTTACATCCTCCTACCATTTTAATGTGCTACTCAAGATTTCCACTTCTACTGAATATCATATTAAAAATATACTTTTTTTTTTTAAATATTTATTTCATAGCATAAAGTAGTCAATAACAAGTTGTTGGCAATCTGCCTACCCATTAAGTCATTAACGACCTAATTTTTCAAATTTTTCAATTCGACAACCTTTATTGGTGGTGGTAATATCAACAAACACTTTAAAATTTTTTGAATTTAGTTATTAGAATATAATAAGTTGGTGGGTATCTCTTGTCCGATATTCTTCCCCTCCTAAAAGGTTGAATCCCCAATCTTAAAGGCTTCACGCCCCGACTCGACAAAGCACGCCCCGACTCGACAAAGCACGTAGAAGAAGGTAAATCAGTGTAATGCCTGCCAACTTTAGGCAGGCAAATTATGTTAGTTTTGTTAAGAATACAATGTTCGAAACTCGGCATCGGTAGTATAGAGATGATGCCTAAAGGGAACGTTATGTTGTGAGCACATGCCCACCTTGCAAGGTGGGCATGTGCTCACAACATAACATTCCCTTTAGGCATCATCTCTACACTACCGATGCCGAATTTCGAACATTGATATCTTCCTCCAAATACTGTCTACTAAACCATTAAGAATCTAGATATATTCTTAATATAAAATATATATATATATATTATATAATAAAAAGTTACTACCTAAAGAGACTAACAACAAAATTTAGTTCATGTATGAAAATCAAAATTAAAAAGGTATATTATATATTATCACATAAATTAAAACTTTTGTTTAATTATTTACTCCGTGTATCTTCATATCGATTTATTAACAATAAATTATGTTCTATGGTAGTTAGAGTAATTTTAGTTTGAAAATTCCAATACTTTAAGAGATTATATGAGTAAAAAAGGGATAACCACATAGTATGTTGAGATCATCCTTAAATTTCTCTTTTGTACAACAATATCTCCTCCAACACCTTTTATTCCATTCCCGACAAAATCTTGATTGAAAAAAAAACTTTTTGTGAAGCAAATTAAATTAAATTCACAACTGAAAATGTTAGGTTTGAAGAGATACATTATTATTATTGTGGCATTTCTAATCTTCGTCTCCCATTCCCATGTTGATGCATTATCCACCAATTTCTGTGGCAACGCCGTGGACGAAGATCTGTGCGAGAATATGGTGAAGGGAACAAAAAATTGGGACGACGCAATAACTAAGGCGGTAAGTGAGGCCACGAAAGAAGTAGTGAGGGCCAGTAAGGCAGGAAACTCCGTGTGTGAAAAGCCCTACAAACACGCAGAAAAAAAATTGATGGATAGCTTGGAAAACGTTCGGGGCGGGGATAAGGATAACAATTTGAACCTCCAACTTGAAGAGGCACTAGCTAGCCTCCAAGATTGCACTAAAGAGCTCAAAAATTTGAAACAAGATGACATATCTGCAGATAAGGCTTTGATTCACGGTGTGGAGCAAGCAATTAGGGTTTGTTTGAGTGTTGAATCGTCCAAATCAGATTCCTCATCCAAGTCTGCCGCCTCAGATACAACAACCTACTCACTCATAGAATGAAATGTAATGTTATTATTATTATTTTTTAATATAATGTCAAATACACCATTGTTAATTTCTTACTACATGAAGCCAAAAGTATTCCCAGGAAGAGAAAATAGATACAACAGAAAGTGCTACCGACAGTGTGGGTAATCATATCAATCAATTATACACCAAAAAAACAAGTGTAATAAATTTTTAATGTATTTTGCATGATATGATCCAATGTCTAAGGGAGTATTGGTATTTGGTAATTTATTTATTTTCATATCAATTATTCGTGACTCATTATAAATTAAAATTAACTTAAATAACAAAACTAACATTATATATCATTAATAAAAAAAAAAGAAAAAAAAAAAAAGAAGAGGGGAATGCCATACGGCGTGGGTTATTTAAATAACCAACATCATGTGTCAAACTCATTTTTTTTAATATTTTAATATGTGATATATGACGTCGATTTGTATTAAAAAATCGAGAGTGAATTCCATTTTTGGTTCTAGTATTATATGGGTTATTCCAATTTTAGTCCACCATAAATATTTTTGCCACATTATGTCCACTATTATTAAAAGTGTTCCAATTTTAGTCCACGAAAAATTTAAAAAATGACTAAAATTGGAACACTTTTAATAATAGTGGACGCAATGTGACAAAAATATTTATGGTGGACTAAAATTGGAAAACTCTTATAATAGTAGGACAAAAAATGGAATTCACTCAAAAATTAATGTCGGAAATGATAATTTTTTTTTTTAAATCAATGAATATACGACATCGGTTGTATAACGTCTTATGTTAAGATATTTAAAATATTAAAATCATTAAACGCAGTCATTTTGATGTGTATTAAAAAAAATCTCACAAGATACGATGAAAACCGACGTAGTATCGAATAACAATTAAAAAAATATTATCCGACACCAGTTTTTGCTAATAATCAATGTTGTAGGGTTTGTTTTAATTTTCCCCCTTCGCTCCTTCTCTTCTCAAAAAAACATAAACATACACATAGTAGTGCTTCCTCCCTCTTATCTTCTCTTCTCAGTCGAACCACCACTGCCATCCACCATCTGTGTTGCCATCCGAACCAGCCATATTCTTCTTCTTCTCTTTACCCCAATGACTATCGAACCACCACTGCTAAACCACCGTTACCTTCGCACTGTCGTTCTCCTCTTACCGCCCGCCACCACCTACATTGTTAGTTCTCAATTTTAGGAATTATTGTGTATTTTAGGCATTATAGGTTGTTGGGAATAACACCCAAATAAGTGTGGATTATTTCCATCCACAACAAATTGTGGAGTGAGGTTTAACTCCTACAAATGTGGTCCTCTCCATCACTCCCCTATTTTAGTGGAAATTGAATGGCTAAGAGAGGATGAGCAGGTAATTCTATAGTTATAAATACCATGTTCCTCCTGAGCTCTAAACGCTCAATTTAATTCTTATCTTCTTCTCTTCTGCAATCCTGAGCTTCGGTGTTAACTGGTCGAAAGCAACCGGTAAGACTGTTACCGTCTCCGGGCAATATTTGTTTTTAAGGTAGTGTCTTGCGCACGTCACCGACTGATTCAGGATTTCTTCTATACTCAGCCTATATAAACAGT